GTCCACAGGCCTCCACGTCAGCATAGCCACCTGCCCATTGGCGGTATAAATAGAAGCATTTATTTCATTGTAAGGGGTTGGCAACTTTCTATTATTAGCACTCTAGCTATAGCATTCTTACTCGCAGCACTTCTACTGCCTTGTGAGACGAACGGCCGACGGAGCCTTAGCGAAAAGTATTGTATTAGGGAGTTATTAAGAGATAATAATACCTAATCATTTACTTGCTACCTTACTGCTTTCCTAATCCATATCATCTGCTTGTTGGGCTAGTTTAATCACACACTCCATTCGAAATCCTTGGGCTTACGTGTTGGACCCGGGGGTTGAAGGAATAAACCTCAACAATGTCATTAAACATTTATTTACAACAAGGTAATGTAATCAGTTGATCAAAACAACTGACACAATCAACTATTATCAAACCGTTGACTGCTAACCACTAACGAGTAATATTAGGTACTACTAATTTCACTCATTCTCGAAGGAATACGGTATATACTATATAGAATGTGTTTCTATAAACAACTAGTGAGATCATAACAATTAATACCACTATTAATTTCCAATTAAAACAAATATATACCTCCAAAATAAAAGGTTTTAAAAACGAGACAAGTGGATTGGGGAGTGTTTGCAATAGCTTAAAAAAAGCACTTCTCAGCTTTTGGCGTTAAAAAGCACTTATTTACCAAACACTTCCAATTTTTACTTTTTCTCGGCTTGCGTGTGAAAAGTGTTTTTCCCTTTTCTATTACACAAAAAGCACTTATTTTACCAAACACTACCAACTTTTACTTTTCAAAATCACTTTTTTCTCAAACACTATCAACTTTTACATCTCCAAAAGTGCTTTTTTTTTAAGCAGAAGCAGTTGCAAACACTCTCTTACTAGGCGCACCATTTTTTTTTGTCAAAAGTGGACAAGGATATCCTTAGTCAGAAATCACGCTATTACACATGGTGCTAGACTGCTAGGCGCACCCACCTGAGTTTTCCATCACTACATAATACTCGTAGTATGATATCACATACGGAGATACGTAGGCTCTGTTTGCAAACCCAACTGGGAAGTGCTTTTAACTTTTTTAAATGATTTGGTAAAAAAGTGATTAATAGTAAAAGTTGGTAGTGTTTGAGAAAAAAGTGATTTTGAAAAGTAAAAGTTGGTGGTGTTTGGTAAAATAAGTGTTTTTTGTGTAATAGAAAAAGTAAAAAGCAGATTCTAGCTTTTAGCTTTTAAGTAGTTCATTTAAGTAGAAGTTGTCATTTGAAAACATCTTTTTTAGCTTTTTTAAGCCAAAAGTTGGGAAGTGCTTTTTTAGTTGGGTTTGCAAACAAAGCCGTAGTAGGACTTGAATTAGAAGCATTTCTCAATTTTTAAATAAGCTCTCCTTCTATTGCTTCTTTAAAAAAAAAGATTATGACATTTTCAAAATTTCTTTTTTTTAAAAAATATTTCCTAAAACTTTGTCTAACATTATTTCGAAAAAGTAACGTAACTATTTTTGAAATATACTCAAATTAATAGTATAAAATATGTTACATGATTAAATTTATGATGTGAATGATATATAGGATGTTTATAATGAACTGATTTCGATCAAGATAAATTGAAACAAAGCAGATCAGCCTAGACTAGTAGTAAATGCACATTTATCAACCGTTCACGAGGCTTGACCATATTGTTTTTATTTTTTTTACATATATAATATTGGTGTCATATTGAAAAAAGATATTGGTGTCATATGAAAAATCTTTAAAAAATATTTAATTTCATATAATTTTTATAAAAATTGGAAAAATGAAAAAGTATCTTCCGTCCCATTAAATTCTTCCAACTTTCTTTTTTGGGTCATCCAAAAAAAATCTTTCAACGTAACTTCCACTTTTAAAAAAATTGTGTGGCTCACATTCATTCACATTTTTCTTACACAACTACAATCATTCATCTTCACCAAAATTGAGGTGCATAATATAATACTCCATAGTGCATAAGTACTCCGGAGTAATTTAGAAGACATGAGATTAATTAAGAAGCATCTCTGTGAATTCTTTAAAATTGGGTTCACCACAATTGTGTTTAGTTGAGATACTTATGTAAAAGACCATTTTGAATATTTTCCATATAATTGTCTCTTTATTTTACAAGTGAAATATTTTTTAATTTTTTCATGATTCGAGAGATTCTACCTATTCAGCCCATTCAAGTGATTCAACCTGAATTTAATCAATTTTAGTAAAATAAGCTAATTTCGCTAATTTTACTATTATCAAACAAACTTTATATTTAGATTGAGTTTATTTTTCTTTTGCATCACATTATATATGATTTCGAAAATGTCAAATTTAAAATTAGCTAAATTATGTACTACCCGTGCATCGCACGGGCTTGAAACCTAGTTGTGTAATAATAAGAAAACATAAGGTTGAAGTTACCTTTTTGGTTGTATTGGCTGAAGTTACTGTAGATGATCATTTTAACTATTTTTCATGTAATTGTTTCGTTAGTTTATTAATAAAATATATTTTAATTTTTTTTCTTTTTAAATAAGCAAAATCAGCCAATACAACCACTTCAGTCAGAACTTCATAAATTTCAACAGAATCAGTCGAATCAGCCAATTTCTTGTTATCAAACGGGCTCAACATTTTTACAAAACATATTGTTGGACACTTAAAAAAATGATATTGGCACCTCAATCTAATAATTTAGTCATTATTATAAGAAATAGTTAATGACATAATGGAGTTTGTAATTGTAACTATTAACTATACGGTCCATTTTGTTAAAAAAGAGAAAGGGGGCATAACCGCATAATGTTTTAGAGAAGGTTACGTAACCCCGAAGAAAAAACAATAATTACGCGGTAGGAGTGTGGGACCTACATATTACTCGAAATGATTCTGAATTACTACGTTTGGAAATACAAAAACCAATACACACACCTCATTGGCTCATTCTTATTATATCTCTCCCTATAAATTCTCAATCAATCTCTCGCCCTCATATCTCATCTCTCCTCTGTTTCTAGTAGAACAGAACACCCAGCCCAGCCCAGCCCAGCCCAGAATGTCTCAGCTGCTTTCAGATCTCCTTAACCTTGACCTCTCCGACCACACTGATAAGATCATCGCCGAGTACATATGGTCAGTCACCTTTTCTCCGCCCTGCGGTCCTGTTTGACCGCGTTTGCTTTTGTTCTTTTTACTCCTTTTGGATCCCGTTTTTCCCTTTTAATAGGCTAAAGAATCAAATAGCTACATCAACTAACTTAAAGGTCTTGTTTTGTAAATGGCTGTTAGCTGTTGCTGTTAGCGGGTTGTATCACATGTTTCCTAACAACTGGTTGTGTTAGTTGTTTTGACCGGCTGGTTATGTTAGCTGATTATAAATAACTGTCTGGTAAAGTTGACTGTTTTGAAATGGCTGGTAAAGTGTAAATTGAACCAGCCCAATAAAGAAGCTGCTCCCCTTAGCTTCTTCAACCGTACATTTTTCCAGCTTTTCAAACTCAACAAGCTAATTTTAAAATCCATTTACAAAACATTATTATTAGCTTCTTTGACTAATCAAACAGCTGAAATGGGTCAAACAAGCTAAAAGCTGGCTGATAAGTCATTTTCCAAATATACCCAAAGTGTTTATGGAGGTTCTGCCCGGCCGTCGCCAATTGGAGCGATTCCCGGTTGAATTTTTTGATGAAATTTTTTGAGTATCTTCTTCGTTAAGTCTGGTTTACCATATCAAATTTCAGCTATAAATTCAATCGATAGAGCAGTCAAATGATTTTTTGAAGATAATTGCGCAGTTAAATCATTTGACGCTATAAACAGTGCAGTACATTTCGGAAAATCATTTGACTGCCTTCCTGATTGAATTTTTAGCTGGTATGAGTAAACCAAACTTAATGAAAAAGATGCTCAAAAAAATTCATCAAAACTTCCCATATAAGTTAGTTCATGTGCCTATTTGACCCTTTAGCCCTTTTTATATATTTTTTTTATTTATTTATGATATGGACGCGTGATTAGCTTGATGTGTGATTTGATTTTATTTGTTTCCATGTTTGCTTTGCTCTGCTCTTCTTATGATATGGCCTCTGATCCGATCTGAAGTTGTATGTAGGGGTGTGCAAACGGGTCTTGGAACTGTGGTCCGGGTAATGGCGGTTCGGATCCAAAACGGGCTGGTTCCATTTTTTTGTTGTCATATAACGGTCCGGGTAGGGTCGGGTGATTTCTTTTAGAGAACCGGACCGGTTCCAAAATTAAAAAATAACGGGTACCCGGCCCGGCCCGTTATATATATATTGTATATCAATTTATTAATAGTTTTGTGATAATCAGTTTTAAAAATAGTTTTGTTTCCTTTGCTAGAAGTAGGATTTTAAATTGAGTTGTAGACTTGCACTAACATACTTTTGTTTTCAAATTATTGATTAAATTTTTCATAAATATCTTATAACTTTTATTGTTATTGAATTATTCCTTTCTATGGAATTTAATTATTTTTTAAAAATGAATTTGTTATATTTTGTATAATATTGTTCTTAAAATATATAAATTGTGTTTATCACCCACCATTTATGTGTCAACTTTGGCTAATACTGAAAATTTAATTTAAAAAAAAAAGCAATCACCTCAATATGTGATGTTAAATACAAATGTTAGAAAATATGTATTTTGGCTATGTTGCATTTTTTTGGAATTTCTTTAATTGTTTGAAACTTATATACATAAAATTATGGAGTATTGGACTTGTCGTTTGTGTTATATGTGCGCCACTATGTTGTTATTTTGGAATTTGCTTTGGACCTTCGTGAGTTTTTACTAATTTTAAGAAATGAGAATAGAAACCGTAAAACCCGGCCGGACCGACCCGTTTCAAACGGGCCGGGTAAGGTCGACCAGACCAAACCATACAATGGAACAGGCGGTTCCATTTTATTTTGCATTACCAACTCCTTGATGCCCATGCCCAGCCCTAGTTGTATGTTCGGATCTTGATGCCTTCTTACCAACTCCTTGCGTTTAGTATTTGCGTTTATCGTGCTCTCTATCACTTTGCGTACCCCGACGAGTTGGGTTGGATTAGTGAGCATCAGTTTTGCTGGGTCACGAATGATTGGAAATTTAGGGTTCAGAAAGAATGGATTTGTGAATATATTTGACCGACCAATCAGATGAGAAGTTTTTGTTTACTTAAACTGTGTGTGTTCAATGCTGATTGAACAGGATCGGTGGATCTGGTATGGACCTCAGAAGCAAAGCCCGGACCCTTGCTGGTCCGGTCAGCGATCCATCGGAGCTTCCGAAGTGGAACTATGACGGGTCGAGCACCGGCCAAGCTCCCGGGGAAGACAGTGAAGTGATCCTATAGTAAGTTGCGCCCCTCAAAGATTAATTTAACCCCTTTTTTTCTTCTTCTTAAAAGGTTAATTTGTTTGACTGTATCTATCGGAAACAGCCCCCAGGCAATATTCAAAGATCCATTTAGGAAGGGCAACAATATCTTGGTGAGTTTGGTTCTTCTTTTATGCATGTCATTAAGCGCTTGGTTGTTCTACCTACCATTGACTTATTCTGATCTACTGCTCCGTATGTCACTTAAACCCACCTTTTAACCGGTGTACGTAACTCAATTGGTAGCAAGAGAGAGTTATAAGGGTTAGGTCTCGGGTTCAAATCCCGGCAAGTAAGTAGTGAAAAATATAGTGAAAATTTAAGTTTTGGCCCCTGCTATATAAATTCTTTAAGCCCCAGCCCCTGTAACCTGTCAATCCTTGCTCCGCCACTGCCGGCAACTGCGATGAGGAGCTACTATGCTGAAAAATGCATAAGGTCTCTATTATTGTGATTATAGTCCAATTTACATCCTCCCATCGTGCCGTCCGGTCGGTGTTGGGGCCCTCAGGGATGGAGTGTCATCCTTACTTAAACCCACCTTTTAGGCTTAAAAAATTACGCGATCATATTAGCACCCTCACTTTGAAAAAACTACTCCGTATCAATCTGGCCATTTTACTTCAAAACATTTAAAAAAACAAAATATCCATGTTCGTTGTGTTTTCTTGATTTATTTTTATATTCTATTTTTTTTTAGAGATTTCATATTTCAATTTCAATTATTTACTTTGTTTTTTATAATAATTATTAAGTTTCTTATTGAGCGTTTATTAATTTATCTATATCCACGTTTTAACTATTTTTTTGTATTTATATTTGTACAATTTTTTATAATAATATGGCTTGCAAAATTTATGAATTTTGTTAATTTTTTTTCTAAAAGTGATCAATGCGGGTATAGAAACACTAAAATGGCCAGTTTGGTTTTTTTTCCAAGAGTTTTGTCAAATTGACACTTGTAGTCCTCCCATTATGATTTTGACACAATAAGTGGACGACTAAAAATGTCAATATTATAATAGTTCTAGGACCAAAAGTGTCACTTTAATGAAAGTTGAAGGACTAAATATGGAAATTTTTGAAGACGGGTACCAAAAGTGTCTCTAGCGTAATAATCAAGGACTGAAAATGGAAAAAATCAAAGCCGAATGCCAAAAGTGTCAATAACATAATAGTCGGAGGACCAAACTGAAACAAAACTCTTGTTTTTCAAGATAGACCTGCTTATATGATACAGAGTACTTTTTTAGCATATGGGGTTCGGCGATTGCTTTGAAGAAGCAGAGGGTCTGTATGGACTTTTTACTTTAATTAGTTGATAAAAAAATCGTGTATGTTATCTATTGAGTATTATTATATTAATTAATACCTCCAACCCAAAAATATTCATTGTTTGATCAACACATAAGATTTGTTAGTATGATTAAAGTTCTCTCATAAATTCATACGGAGTATTTTTAAAATTAAGTTCATGTGTTACAAGGAAAACTAGACCCTTTCCATAATACTTTTTTTTGGGTCAAATTACAAGGAAAAAATAGTTTTGTTGTATATTTAAGGACTTGTTATGGGATAAAAAGAATCAGACATGATACTTTTCTTTGTGAAGTGTAGGGAGTAAGTTATATTTTCTGATTACATTTTAAGTAATGTATGTACTTAGCAAAGTGAGCTCGCTTTGCCATATGAGTTTTGTTAAGATTTGGGGTTAATTAATTAGGTCATGTGCGATGCATACACTCCTGCTGGTGAGCCTATTCCAACAAACAGTAGACACCATGCTGCCAAGGTCTTTAGCGACCCGCATGTTGTCAAAGAGGAGCCATGGTAATTAATTAATTATGTTTTTATTACCAAATATGTATGTGTTGCAACTTTACATTGTTAGCATCATTTTATCTTTTCATTTTTTCGCATTATTATTATAATAAAAAAACATGGTATTGCTTGTAAAGATAATCTATTTATTTTAATCAGGTTTGGAATTGAGCAAGAGTATACTCTCCTCCAAAAGAATGTTAAATGGCCACTTGGATGGCCTGCTGGAGGTTTCCCTGGACCCCAGGTATATAAATCCATTTAATGCTTCTAAGATGATTTTAAAGATTACAGGAAGTTAATTGCTCTTTATCTAGAGTAAAGGATTAGGTGCCTGACGTGCACTTTGTCGTGTATGCACTCAAAATAATTATACAATACAACAATTATACGTAGTATAACGAAGTAAGGTTCGTATCCGCAGGACAAGGAATACTTCTCTTTTTATAAACTAGTAACAAAGGGGGGTTTATATTTGGTTGATGAACTTAAATTATAGGGAAAACTGTCAAATAGGTCCTCGAACTTTCATAAAAAGGTCAATTAAGTCCTTCTATAGGAGGTTCTTTCCGGCCGCCGCGATTTGGGGCAGTTCCCGGTGGAATTTTTTGATGAAATTTTTTGAACATTTAATTCATCAAGTCTAGTTTACTCATATCAAATTTCAGTTAAAAATTTAATCGGGAGCGCATTCAAATTAATTCGAGAACGCAAAAATGCGCAGTTATTTTCAAGAATTAATTTCAATGTGTTCCCGATTGAATTTTTAGCTGAAATTTGGTATGAGTAAACTAGACTTGGTGAATAAGATGCTCAAAAAATTTCATCAAAAAATTCCACCAGGAACTGCCCCAAATCGCGGCGGCCGGACAGAACCTCCTATAGAAGGACTTAATTGACCTTTTTATGAAAGTTCGAGGACCTATTTGACAGTTATCCGTAAATTATATTTAACACAAAGATGAACGACTTATATGGTTTAATTAATGAGAAGAAGACTTGACTTTGCTTTTATCCACTTAATGAAATGTTCGTCGATCCCGGTTATATCTTTAACTATCTTCCTCTCGAATACTCAATCGAGGAGTATATCCAGTTCATCGAGGGTAGTTATTAATAACGAGAAGCGTTCATTAATAAAACTTACTATCGAGTCAATATAGAACAAGCGCCGTATATTAACTTGATAGTAGCAATAAACTTAAGATGAAAACGATTGAGATTGATAACCTCAACACAAGCGGTTTATTGGTTTAATCAATATAATTAATTCCCCTTGGCTTATTAACCATGAGAAGCATGCATTGATAATCCAAGTTTACTACCATTGAATGAACCGAATTAATAACAAGCGTATTAACCGATTGATTCTAGTAATAATTAATATATGGAACAAAACTAGTTGATACTTTAAGTAGTGCTCAAAATATTAATATGGAATATGAATAGAAAGTAATTAATATTCAAGGAAGAAGATTAAAGAAAATAACTCACAACTTACAAATCATTAAGCTTCAAAGTAGCAAAACCAAGATGGAAGAGTTTAGCTCCTCGTTTGGAGACTAAACATGATAAAAATATAAAAAAAACTTGTCTAAATTGAGCTAAGAAGTATATAGGAATTGGTAATTTATTTTGGAGGAAATGAGGTGTATTTATAGGCTTTTTAGGCCTGCAGGGTCGTGTACCCGATCGGGCTTGCAGCTCACTCGATCGGGTATAATATGTAGGTTCCTCGAAGCTGAAAAATGGGGTCATACCCGATCGGGTCTGTCGGTCACCCGATCGGGTATGACACCCGAACGTGTCAAAATCCTCCCGCATGATGCCTTGTTCCCGGATTTGATTTGATTCGATTTTTCAGAAGGGTACCCGACCGGGTATAGGTAATACCCGACCGGGTACAGACCAAAAACGAGATTTTCACTTCCTTGTATTTTTGCACCTTCCTTCCACTTGTGATGTTTACCAATGGTCCCCAAAGTGTTTTTGGGCCTGTTTGAGCTTAGAATAAACCTAATCTAAACAAATTACAAATATTTTACAAAATAAACTATTACACCAAAAGTGTGTAATTTCCAAAGTGATAATCAATCTAAACTAATTAAAAACACACACAAAAACATGGAAATAATATGAATGTGAACTCCCCCACACTTAGTTTCTTTACTCGGCCTCGAGTAAAACTAAATGTTTACACAATGTTCATCAAAAGATCATGAGTTCATAAATAGGAAGAAATAAGGAACCAAAACCACCAAGTATTGTAAATGAGTTTACAAAACAACATTTCCTTGGGTTTAATGGTCTTCTATGCTCCTTACTTCTTTTTCTATTCTTCTTCTTTTCTTCTTCTTCTTCCTCTCCAAGAGATAGTGTCCTGCAAAAACAAATTTTTCTCTCATATGTCTCATTTTGCCTAGGAGCCTTTTCAGGTTTTCATCCTAGCATCTCCTTTCTTTTTTCTTTCCTTACCACTCACTCTTTTTTTTGTAAGCCCTTGTTGCTTAGATTGCCCTTTTGGGTTTTCAACCTAACTAGCATTTCATTTTTTTCTATTTTTTTTTTATGTACAACTAAAAGTCTAAAACAAGAAAATAATGCTTAGTACAAGGTACAAAAATCAAAGGGAGTTTACATACCAAGAGATGGATTTCCTTCCCCCACGCTTGAATCATGGCACTATCCCTAGTGCCCGCCTTCTCCGCCATAATAGCCGCCTCCAAAGCCGCTCCCGTGTATGTCATCACCGCTTCCCTCGCCCATGGTAGTATCCCCGCCATCATAGCCACCACCGCCGGAAGTAGAGCCACCAAAATTACCCCAATCGGAGGGGTTATACCAAGAAGGTGCCGGTGGTGGTGAAGCCATAGATGCAAAACGGCCAAGGTGGGACATGTAAGCATAAGTGGGCCCATACATCCTCCGGTAGTCTTCTTCATACCGTTGCAAATCGGCGGCTCTTTGTTCCTCCATCCGTTTAAACGCCGCTTGTTGTTCCGCCCGGTATGCATCAAATTGCCGGTCCCTTTCTTGTTGCTCCTCCCGGTAGTGGCCTATTTCATTTTGGAGTTGGGCAAATTGCCCTCCCATTTTGGTGTAGTCAAGGCTCATGGTTTGAAAACCGGCTAGGAGGGATTGTTGACCCGCCAAGAGTTGTTGGAAGAAGTCTTGTGGTGGCGGGTTTTGGGGAAGGTCGGGGATATCATTTTGGACATTCTCATATCCTTGATTCTCGGCGTGGTCGGGTTGATGCTCTGGTTGGTTGTCGGGTGGATTAGCTTGGGCTTGGAGGTGGGGTGGAATATTATTTGGTAGGAGGTAGTGGGTAACTTCATGGATTGGCATTTTATACCTAAGTGTAGGTAATTCGTCACCAGGAAGGGGGAAATATTTGGTGGGTTCGGGGTACTTCATGTGCCACCTGTAGCGTTGGTTTCCATTATGGTCTTTGTTGCCCAAAGAGATCAAACCCGCATTGGATAACCAAACAATGTGCATCAAAGAATCTGCGTGAATGGAAGCATTGTCCGTATAGTCGAATTTGGACACCAAATGCATTATTACCCCCCCAACCACAATGTTCCCGGTTTTCTTGCAAGCTTCCTTCAAGTGATCCCACATTAAATTGCAAAGATTATAGGCGGTGGGTCTTTCAAAAAGGGTTAGAGTGAGTACGGCCACGTCCTCCATCCGAGTATGGTGATTGTTGGGGCGGCCGAGCAAAGAGTTGCACAAAAACTTTAGGAAAAGCCGGAGAAGGGGATGTTGAACGTGACTAATGGAGAGTTTAGACGCGTTAACTTTCACCTCTCCGGTCATTTTTGACCATAAAGTATGACCATCAAGTGTGCTTTCCGGTATTCCCCTCTCATGGGCCACGGGAGTGCCAAAGTGTGCGGCAAACTCACGTCTCGCTATTGAGTATTCGGTGTTGAGCAACCGAAACGTGAGTTTGTCGGAGTTAAAATCCGCCGGGTCCTCTTGAAGAACAAATTTCATTGAGCTCATGACCTCATAAATGACTTTGTCAACACAATTGTATTGCATATTGAAAATCAAATTCATACGCAATACCTCAAATAATTCCCTCATTCCATCATCTAAGCCTAGTTTCTTAAGAGCATCATGACAAATAAATCTTGAGGGAATTACTTGCCTTTTAATGATAGCCAAAAATCGTGCTCGATGATTTCCCGACCCAAAGCGGACATCCTCATACCCCGGGACTAGTCCTCTAGCATTGGAGCTCTCCGGTTGGCTTCTTTTTGGTGCCATTTTAGCCTTTTTGGAAGCTTTGGGTTCGGACTTGGGGTTTGGGGTAGGGTTTCGAATTTTTGAGGAGAGGGGGAGATATGGGGATTTATGGGTATGAGGTTAGAGAGGAGAGTGAGGGGAGTGTTTTGGTGGTGGTATGAGAGGATTTGGTTGAATATTGAGTGAGTGATGGGAGGTTGAAGGTTCGAAAATGGGGGATTTGGGGAGAGAGGTTCGAAATTTGGGAGTTTGGAGAAGATGAAGTGGCCGAAATTGGGGATGAATTTGGTTAAAATGTCGTGTACCCGATCGGGCGGCCCGACATACCCGATCGGGTCTCCTTCTTTGAGCTCAGTTACCAAGTTTCCACCCGATCGGCTGGGACGGAACTCGATCAAGTGAATCATGCCGCAGAAAAATCTTTGTTTTTTGGATTTATACCCGATCGGGTATCCTGAATTTTTTTAAAAATTTTGCTCCAGAGGTTCGTACCCGATCGGGTTTGGGGTTACTCGATCGGGTAATTCAGGCCGCAGAAAAAATCTTTGAATTTTGGATTTATACCCGATCGGGTCATAGGTGTACCCGATCGGGTACTCTCTTGAAATTTTTCTTCCTTCCCGATCGGGTTTCCTCAAAGGCCTGCCTTTTCATATGTACCCGATCGGGTATAGCAATGGTGCCCGATCGAGTACACTACCCTGGGACGTGTTTTTGTCCATTTTCATCCTCTTTTTCGGCATGGATCCGACCGGGTAAGTGATGATGACCGATCGGAGGTTTCTCCAGGTTTTCAAAACATGATTTTTCCTCATTTTTCTTTTGAAAATTTTCCCCCATTCTCTCAAAGTTGACATTCGAAAACAAGAATTTGAAAAGAAAAATTTAAAAAAAATGCGTACCTTGGCTTGGGTTGCCTCCCAAGAAGCGCCTTAGTTAACGTCGCGGCACGACGTTATTATTAAAAAAATTTTCATTTTAAGTGGGATCATGAACATCCCTTTTTTTCTGCTTCAAGGCCCTGTTTGGCCATGTGTCAATTTTATCTTTGGCCCTTCTCCAACAAGACCGTTTTTTTTATTTTTGTTACCACCTCAAGTTCAGGTGGTTTCAACTTATTTTCAAGAGGTTCGATGAACGGTGGTTGATTTAGTGTTCCCCTAACATCAAAGATTGATTCAATTTTTTCTTCAAATGGGGAGTGATGTTTAATAGAATTATAAATGTTATATTCTATTTTCTTTCCATCAAATTCCATAGTTAAAAATCCGCTAGAAACATCAATTTTTGAGTTAGCGGTTTTTAAAAATGGTCTCCCCAATAAAATAGGGACTTCATGTTGATCACTCTCCATTTCAATAACGTAAAAATCTGCAGGGAAAACTAGATCACCTACCGATACAAGTACGTCTTCCACTAGCCCTTTTGGAGAAACACTTGACCTATCGGCTAGTTGGATTATGACACCGGTTTCTTTTAAAGGTCCAAGTTTTAAAGAATTGTAAAGAGTATAGGGGATCACATTAATTGATGCCCCTAGATCCAACATGGCCTTAGAAGAAATGGTGTCTCCTAGCTTGCATGGTATAGTGAACATGCCTGGGTCAATGCATTTTTATGGAAGTTTCTTTTGGAAAACTGCCGAGACATGTTCACTAACTTCAATTTTTTCTTTTCCTCTTGAGTGGTGTGTCCTCTTGATCGTGCATAATTCTTTAAAGAATTTAGCAAATCGAGGGACACTTTTCATTAATTTGAGGAGTTGAATATTTACCTCGCACTTGGCAAATGTCTCGTACATGTCTTTGTTGTTTTTCAGCGGCCTTGTCTCCCTCAATGCTTCGGGGAATGGGGGTGATGGTTCGTATGATGATAGTGGTGGAGCTTTCGTGGTCATCTCCCCCGGTTGATCTTCCTCTTCAACTTCAACCATTTCCCCTTGAGCCTTCTCTCCTTGCAACTCTTTTCCGCTTCTCAACATGATTGCATTAACATGTTGTCTTGGAGTTTGTTCCGTTTGAGAAGGGATTTTGACTGCAGTCTTGGCTTCAAGTCTAATTACCGCCCTTGAGATTTGTCTCATTTGGTTCTCAAGGTTTTGGATGCTAGACTTGGTCTCATGTTGAAATTGGACCATATTTTGTTGCATGGTCGAGACTGTTGATGTGAGTGCTCGGATCATGTCCTCCGTGGACATACTCGAGCTTTGGCCTTGGTTTTGTGGAGGGTTGGATTGTTGGGGGTTTCCATATCTCAAGTTTGGATGATCCCTCAATCCGGGGTTGTAAGAGTTTGAGAATGGGTCGTACCTCCTTTGTTGATGCCCTTGGAAACCCAAGGCGTTGACTTGCTCTTGATTGTCCTCTTGAAGAGTTGGGCATGAGTCCGTGGAGTGCCCCTGTTGTGTACAAATGCCGCAGACCTTGACTTCTTGGGTCTTGGATTTTAAGAGGAAATCCTTAACCAAAGAAGTCAAACCGGCAACTTGACTCTCCAATGATGATGTTGATTCTGCAGCGGCAACTCTACGAGTTGAGGATTTGCGGCCGAATTGCCGTGAGTTCTCGGCCAACTCCGAGATAAGATTTATGGCTTGTGAAGGTGTTTTATTGACAATGCCGCCTCCACAGGCGGCGTTCACCATTCTTCTATCATCATCAACAAGACCATCATAAAAATATAAGATGAGGTCTTGTTCTGAGTATCCATGATAGGGGCAGCTGGCACATAGCTTCTTAAATCGTTCCCAAAATTCATACAAAGACTCATCATCCTTTTGCTCGATGTTGCTTATTTGCTTTTTGAGAGAAGATGAGATAGAAGCAGGATAATACCTATCAAGGAAGCATTTCTTCATTTGTGCCCATGTGTTGATACTCCCGGAAGGAAGACAGAAAAATCAATCCTTCGCGGTGTCCTTTAAAGAGAAAGGGAAGACCCTCAGTTTGATTTGTTCTTCGTAACACCGTTTGGGCACATGCTTGTGCAAACGATGTGGAATTCCGAAAGATGTTTATTCGGGTCTTCTCCTCGTAGGCCATGAAAAGATGGCAATAGATGTATGAGCCCAGATTTTAGCTCAAATGTATTACCTTCATTAAGAGTAGGAAAGGTAATACACAATGGTTGTTGATTCAAGTTTGGAGCTGTGAGCTCCCTCAAGGTTCTTGTTTCGAGATCCATGTGGAATGACTCTTCAGATTCGCTAGAACTAGAGCTAGCGTTTGAGGATTCCTCCGAGGGTGTGTGCGGAAATAAATTTCTCAACCTCTCGAAGGCTTGTTCTATTTCGGGGTTTGCTTGATAAGTGATTTCGTTCAATGAACGATATTTGACCATATACTTCACAAAGCTCAGAAATAGAAGAATAAGAACTCTTTATATTTTTGTTTAATTAATTTTTTTTTTCTTGAAAAAAAAATAGCCTTTCCCCGGCAACGGCGCCAAATTTGACGTGCACTTTGTCGTGTATGCACTCAAAATAATTATACAATACAACAATTATACGTAGTATAACGAAGTAAGGTTCGTATCCGCAGGGCAAGGAATACTTCTCTTTTTATAAACTAGTAACAAAGGGGGGTTTATATTTGGTTGATGAACTTAAATTATATTTAACACAAAGATGAACGACTTATGTGGTTTAATTAATGAGAAGAAGACTTGACTTTGCTTTTATCCACTTAATGAAATGTTCGTCAATCCCGGTTATATCTTTAACTATCTTCCTCTCGAATACTCAATCGAGGAGTATATCCAGTTCATCGAGGTTAGTTATTAATAACGAGAAGCGTTCATTAATAAAACTTACTATCGAGTCAATATAGAACAAGCGCCGTATATTAACTTGATAGTAGCAATAAATTTAAGATGAAAACGATTGAGATTGATAACCTCAACACAAGCGGTTTATTGGTTTAATCAATATAATTAATTCCCTTTGGCTTTATTAACCATGAGAAGCATGCATTGATGATCCAAGTTTACTACCATTGAATGAACAGAATTAATAACAAGCGTATTAACCGATTGATTCTAGTAATAATTAATATATGGAACAAAACTAGTTGATACTTTAAGTAGTGCTCAAAATATTAATATGGAATATGAATAGAAAGTAATTAATATTCAAGGAAGAAGATTAAAGAAAATAACTCACAACTTACAAATCATTAAGCTTCAAAGTAACAAAACCAAGATGGAAGAGTTTAGCTCCTCGTTTGGAGACTAAACATGATAAAAATATAAAAAAAAACTTGTCTAAACTGAGCTAAGAAGTATCTAGGAATTGGTAATTTATTGTGGAGGAAATGGGGTGTATTTATAGGCTTTTTCGGCCTGCAGGGTCGTGTATCCGATCGGGCTTGCAGCTCACTCGATCGGGTATAATATGTAGGTTCCTCGAAGCTGGAAAATGGGGTCATACCCGATCGGGTCTGTCGGTCACCCGATCGGGTATGACACCCGAACGTGTCAAAATCCTCCCGCATGATGCCTTGTTCCCGGATTTGATTTGATTCGATTTTTCAGAAGGGTACCCGACCGGGTATAGGTAATACCCGACCGGGTACAGACCAAAAACGAGATTTTCACTTCCTTTCTTGTATTTTTGCACCTTCCTTCCACTTGTGATGTTCACCAATGGTCCCCAAAGTGTTCTTGGACCTGTTTGAGCTCAGAATAAATCTAATCTAAACAAATTACAAATATTTTACAAAATAAACTATTACACACCAAAAGTGTGTAATTTCCAAAGTGATAATCAATCTAAACTAATTAAAAACACACACAAAAACATGGAAATTACATGAATGTCAGTGCCCATGTGGGTGGTCCCTTGAAGTTCAGAAGTTAGTTTTTTTAATAATAAAAATATGAAGGAAACAAATGTAACCCACAAATGACAATATGACATGACTGCCTTTCATGGCCTCATCTTTAAGTTACGGAGTAATATATTTTAATTCTTTCGAAAATTCATTTCATTCAGTTATTAAATTTACGTAACTAGTTCATTAAAAAGTCAACCACACAATTTTTTGGGACTAAGGCTTAAAAAAATTAAGCAATTACTTTTGTTTTTTAGTTTATTAAAAATTAAAAATAACACACGGATACATTTTAAGACAATTCATTTCATTCAGAAATTTCAGCTGCAATCTTTATATTAGCAGATTTAATCACTACAGCCAACTTTTAACTCATCAATCGGGCTCCAAAAAAGTCATGATTATAATAGCAAAAGCTACTTGTTATAAATAAAAATATTAAGCACTCAAATATATGGTACGGAGTATGATATTATCATATTATGTTAACAGGGACCATATTACTGTGGCATTGGAGCTGACAAAGCTTTTGGGCGTGACATTGTTGACGCACACTACAAAGCATGCCTTTATGCTGGGATCAACATCAGCGGTATTAATGGAGAAGTGATGCCTGGACAGGTCAAATTCTTATTTTATGTTGCAGGGTACTTGATTCTTGTTTTTTTGTTCTTTATTGATTCTTTTGGTTAGACTTTGAGAATAAAATTTGACAATATATATATGATGATGTGCAGTGGGAATTCCAAGTTGGTCCATCGGTAGGAATTTCAGCGGGTGATGAGGTGTGGGTGGCTAGGTATATTCTGGAGAGGATTGCGGAGATTTCTGGAGTGGTCGTCTCATTTGACCCGAAACCAATTCCTGGTGATTGGAATGGTGCCGGGGCTCACACAAACTACAGGTAACGGCGTTTAGAATGCGTTTTGGATTTCATATGGTTAGCAAACGAAGCCTGCCTTATTTTTTGCAGCACCAAGTCAATGAGGAATGATGGTGGATTTGAAGTGATTAAGAAGGCCATTGGAAAGCTGAAGCTGAACCACAGGGATCACATTGCTGCATATGGGGAGGGCAATGAGCGCCGTCTGACCGGAAGGCATGAGACCGCTGACATTCACACCTTCTCATGGGGAGTCGCGAACCGCGGTGCGTCCGTTCGTGTGGGACGTGATACGGAGAAAGATGGCAAAGGCTACTTTGAGGACCGGAGGCCAGCTTCCAACATGGATCCCTACGTCGTTACCTCCATGATTGCCCAGACCACTCTTTGTTCATTCTATGCGAGTTTTCCGTATGGATCAGATCCATCCCAGCCTTGTTGTGTTTTGTTCGGTAATTGAATAATGCTTTGTCACGCTTGTTCTATGTGGGTGGGTGGGTATATTGTTGAACTCAAGTGGCAATTTTTTTGTCACGCTTTAAAAATATTCCGTATATTTCTAAGATTCAGTGATTTGCGGTGTCATACTCCATTACTTACGTTCTTGGCGCTTGTAAAATAGTTAAAGGAAAATATATACCCCACAAATAAAATAGTTACAAATATGGAAAGTGGAAACTGCCAAAGTAGGACTAAAATAATGGTCAGTTTCGTACTCGAAGTTGCAAAAAAGGAGTCAAAATAAGTCCTTATATAGAAGATTCTGTCCGGACGTGCCATTTGAGGTGTTTCCCGGTGGAATTTTTAGATAAATATTTTTTAGCATCTTATTCATTAAGTCTAGTTTAGTCATACCAAATTTCAGATATAAATTAAATCGAGAAGACATTGAAATGAATTCTTGAAGATAACTGTGTTGTTAAAAGTGCAGTTATCTTCAAGAATTCATTTGAATGTCTTCCTGGTTGAATTTTTAGCTGAAATTTGGTATGACTAAACTAGACTTAATGAATAAGATGCTCAAAAATATTTATCTAAAAATTCCACCGGGAAACACCTCAAATGGCACGTCCGGACAAAATCTTCTATATAAGGACTTATTTGACGCCTTTTTTCCATCTTCGAGGATCAAATTGACCCTTTACTCCTAAAATAACTCACCCCGTCCCATTTTGATTAGTCTTTCAAGTGTGTCTAACTTTGTTTGATAATATATTTATATACAGAAGTATTGATAATATAAAAATGATGTAAAAATGTTCTTTATCAAAAATGCTAGCAGAAAAGTATAACATTATTAAATTTTGCATAAATATATTAGTTAAAATAATTGATAAAAGTTTACCATTGACAGGATTTCAATCAAAGATGGCTAAATCAAATAGGGCGGAGGTAGTATTAATCTTCTAAAAATAGAATTACATGTTTTGTTTTCCTTAAATACGACTAAACACTATATTTCTATCCTTAATAACATAATTAATTCATACTCCGTATAATTTATAGTTCCTTTGGTTACACTTACACTTCTCAAATCCTACAAAGATATTTTGGTTCAATCACAAATATAAAGCTACATTTATTAAACCTTAAACATTATGTAAGATTTTGAGAAAATGACATTGTGTTGGTCCTTTGTTTGGATAGACTTAGTAAACAGTTTGATATCTTAGTGTCACTTAATCCAGACAGACAACTTAATCTGGACAGACGTCTTAATCTATTCAGGACTTAATGGAAAAAAAGTAAACAACCCCTAAATCTCCTTGATATTTTAGCGATTGCATATAGAAATGTTAAATAAATTGTCAATATTACAACATGGTTAAGGGTTGTGTCAATTATTTATAGAAATGTTAAATAAATTGTCAATATTACAAAATGGTTAAGGGTTGTGTCAATTTTTTGAAAATATATTTCAATTTGATCAAAAGTTATAGTGCTTTTCTAGCTTTATGATCTTGCTCTCCATTACTTCATTAGATTCAATCATGAAACTTAAAATCATTATTTCAAACTTTACAAATAAAGAGGTTGACTTTGGGGTGGTGAGAGTATAGCTGCACCAAGAAAACGAAAACACGATGTTTGTTTAGGAAAAAAATATTTTGTGTATTTTGAATTTTTGACACCCATTTGTTTACCTTTTATTCCTAACAGTTTACCGTCGTTATTTCGTTTTCTAGATATGATGTAAAAAATGCATTTTCTTTCTTTCCTTTTTGGCTATGAATTGCGAACACTAAGACCAAGTAGTTAATCATTATTAGTTTTCTAGTATAATGCTTACTAGTGGTTTTTCAGTAGATATTCTAATGTCTTTGTGGCAAAATGCAGATGGATGTTTCCCATTCTGATGATGATGTTTCTTCTGCTGAAAACCAAAGCAAAGTTGATTATAGTGATGCTGAAAATGTTGTCGAAGGAAATGACGAAACACACTGTCACCATAAGATGATCACTAGTTTGACATGCGATGACATTAGAGGTCTAGAATTTGGTAGTGAGGAGCATGCTTTTAAATTTTATGAAGCGTATGCTAAGAGCCATGGATTCGTCATTAGAAAAAGCTGCGTTTGTCGAGATCCTAAAGGTAACATTATGAGATGTTTGCTTGTATGCAATAGGGCAGGTTTGCGTAGTACAGTCCACTTGGCAAGGGTGAATAGAAAAAGAGAACATCGACCTCTCACACGCACTAATTGTCAAGCTCAGCTTAAGGTGCACTTAGATTACAAAACATCAAAGTGGAAAGTGTCATCATTTCAAGAGACTCATAACCATGCGTAGTGAGGCGGATAAAGCTCAAGTGGATAGTTTGCATTCATTTGGGGTTAGAACTTGTCACATAATGGGCTACTTGTTAGCTCCAAAGGGTGGGCATGCTGGTATTGGTTTTTCAAAAAGGGATCTATACAATCACTTTCAAATACTTATCTGTGACCTTCATTTTGCAGGTGCTTAACCTATTTGTTTGCAAACTCACCTTCAATCAAAAAAAGTTTTCAGCAATTGTGTCAGCTTGGTTCTTACCTACCTATTTTTCAGTAAAACCACTATCGCTTGTTGTTATTTCCATAGATTTTTATGATTATGAGTTCAGTAGTTAACTAATAGTCTATAATTATGAATCGTAGCAATATGCGTTGAAAGGGGGAGTACAGCCAGAACCAGTTCAAAAAATACGTCGAATCTATCAAGAGAGATTCACGGGGAAAGCATGTGATTTGCGAAAGGTTCGTACTTTGTATGACATGATTACTTATCACTCCAGTTCAATTAGAGTATAACCATTTGTATTTTTCACTACAGATATTTATTCCTATTAATGATGACAATATTCATTGGTACCTCCTTGTGGTTGACATAAATTCTAAAACACTTAATGTGTTGGACTCGCTGCCATCTCCTTCTATAAGACTCAGTACAAGGCTGGATGGTAAAAAACTGGTCAGAATTGTGCAAAAAATTGTATAATTACGATTATAATCAATTTTGATTACATTTGAGTTATGTGGCACGTAGTATATCTAGAAGAAATTTTGACAGACTCTTCATTTTATGACTCCTCCGACGATGAAAGGCTATTAATATCAGATTATGCCTTGACTATACCAGAAGGAATTGGTCGGCAATTGAATGGATCGTAAGGAATGAATACATATTTTATTTTTTTGTTTCCTTTAAGAATTTTCTTTCAAAATTACATGGCTGATCTTAATTCTGTCAACTTAGGAACGATTGTGGTGTTTGGGTAGCTCAATGGATGTCGGAATGCATTTGGACCAACAATTATAGCAATGTTTCTGTAAGTCACTTTACTGTTTTTTTCCTTTCAATCTTTGTAATGTTATGTATAATATTTGGCTAACTTGTGTTTGTTACTAACATCATTTCATATTCACAGGTCACACCTGAAACGAGAATGCGTTTGGCCATTGATCTAGTTTTGGGTTCCTATAATGAATTGAGGGATGAAGTTGTTCAAAATGCTTCCAAGAATTGGATGGAACTTGTGTCAAACAGGAAGAAGCTTGTTCAAGCTTAGCCTAGAATTTGGTGTTTTTCCAGAGATTAAGTAGTTTATTTCATTGCAGTAGATAGAAACCTAATGTCTGGATTTGAACCTTCAATGTTTTTTATTCCGATTAAGTTTTTCTGTCTTGATATGGTATTGCATGTGCAACTTAGTTTGAAAATTTTATTTGAATCTGCTCACAAATTCACAAGGCCTACTATACCAATGATCCATAACTTTCTACGAGACAAACCTACATTCACATACATATGGAAGATGAGTAAACAACATGACGAAACAATGAAACTCGCTTTTCATATGGAATTATGGATATACACTCATGAAGTCATAACTTCATAAAGTCCAGCAATAATACCTGCATCTTTGGTAGCCTGCCTTTGAGCATCATTGAAATATGCTGCAAGAAATCAATAAAGTTGATGTAAGCATGATCTCCATTATTAGGCCAAAATGTAGCAGGCATGTGTAAAACAGCCCACTAAACTACGTTTCCAAGAGTTGCCTCTTACTGGGTAAGAATAAACAACTACCATTTCTAAGGAATGCTTCAATTGTCTCCTTCATCATTGTCAGAATCACTGCACTGATTTCCTCAGGGCTGAAGACTTTAGCTTCCCCATCCTTGATTTTTACTTGTATGTAAGGTTTACTGATAGATTCCACCACAAATCCAGAACAATTACAGATGATTAACAAGAAAATCAAACTGAACTTTATTAAGAAGATGAACAGTAACAAGGCCGAAGCCCCCAAAAGAAAGAGACGGATAATCTCTAACTTTCCCAGTCCCAGACCTAAAGTCCAAAAGTCTCCTTTACCTGCCCCCAACTTATTCTATTTATACTTTACTAATACATTTATTATTATAAATACTCTAATAGGCCTGGTGCCTTATTATTAATACTCTAATAGGCCCGGTCCCTATCATTTACCCTCCTTGTTCACAATCTTGTATGGAACCAACTTCATATCCTTCTGCGCCTCCTTATCCTCAAACCTGTGTACAAGCGCACAATGAGATCAATTTATACTATAAATATAATATACCAATTCAACATGTTTAGAGAAATGTGCATTACTTTCTTCCAATAAGCCTCTTCACATCAAAGATTCTTCTCTCAGCGTTGACAGCTACAATGTTCTTTACAGCCTCACCAATAAGTCTTTCTGTGTCTGTGAAGGCAACCCAAGATGGGGTGATATGATTTCCTTGATCATTTGCTATGATTTCAACATGTCCAGTGATCCAGTCTTGTAAACACCAACACAAGAATAAGTTGTCCCAAGATCAATTCCAATAACAGTTCCTAATTTAGTTGCTTCCTCCTTTGCCATAGAAATTGCAGACAAGACATCCTATCGAATAAAATGGTCCAGTCAGTAATACAATACAAACTCATCAAAATATTTAAGTTCCATTCATAAAAAATATAATGGCATAAGCTCTTCGTAAGAATGCAATTTATAGGAGCATTAAGGAAGAACAGTTTGAGGATCAAAGGCACCACCCACTAGAAAATCTAAGCACAAGTGAAGAGAATAATAATTTATGGAAAGAGCTACATACATCCCAAAATGTCCATAAAGTAATGATTAAAGTGACATTTTCCAGACATATTTAGCAAAATCACTACAGCCTCTACCACTTCTCATATCAGGCAAAATCACAGCAGAGGAAGATTAGAACATTTTGTGTTATCCCAAAACAAACAACTACGTATTATACTTGTACACAAAAAGTATCTGCATTTTTATTTAATAAATAACATCAACAACTCTACTGTATTTATGCACCCAGAAAATGAATTTATGAAGTCAATAAAAGTTAAGCAATAGCCCCATAAATAAGTTAGTGATTAGCAATGTGCATTCCAAATATGAAAGCTATCTCAGACATCTCATCATTTCAAGTTGATAATTAGCACCCTCAGCCTCTATCTCTTCATCTTCCTCCCGAATCTATCATTCATTTGAATTTGAATGCTAAGGCATATGTTGACTTGGTAAAAAAACAGCTGTTATGGTATTATACAAAAAACAGGACAAAGCCATGAAACACACCGGGAAGGGGAAACAGTTGGTAACTTCCAAAACGCTTCCCACGTTCAACCCAAGAAGTTGTCCAGTGACTAAAGCTGGTGAAAACTCCTTACAGTGCTTAATTATCTTCAAAATCACCTGTTCTCGAGTAATCATTCGAGCTGAAAGTTATAGGCTGATCAGCCTGATCCCGCTTTGATGAAACAAAAGATATTGTCAATAATGAAAACACAACCCTATTTACAAGAGATATTGTCAACTCCAGCAACTAAAGAAATAATTACAAGAGAAACACTATGAAGATGCAACAGTTTGACTCAGTAATACTAAATAAAATATTTTATTTTATTACTCTGTTCCAAGATTAACAGCTGAAGCGTTGAGGTTTTCAACACGCATGACTTCAAATTTATCATCCCTTATTCAGGGACTCAGTAACACGCTTTTTTTTTCTTCATGTCAAGTCACATAAATCAACTCACATCTGGAAACAATCAACCTTAATAATCAAATGATGTGATCTTTCTCAGCAAAAAAACTTAACCCAATGGAGAATTACATGTAGGCAAAAGAAAGAAAGACTGTGGCTTTGAGTGTGTGTTTTCAGTGGGAGCATTTCCTTTGATTGTTAATCTTATCTAACTTTGTTCAAAAAATATACTCATTTCATACAATGACCATATCAGCAAAAGATCCACCTATTTTGACAAGCAAAGCATATATTCATCACCATAACCTATGAAGAATACTATTGTCAGTTCATCATATTAGCACCCACAGATAGATGTGATCTTGAAATATGAAATTTAATGCAAAAGCCTAGTAAGCCATGACCAACAAAGTAAACAAGAAGCTCAATGTGCATGAATCAAGAGCAGAAATTTCGACATCCTTATAAATTTCATGGCTATGGCATCAATGTTACAATCGTTACCAAACAATTAGTGGGAAAAAAACTTTTCTGTCTAAAAAATTAGATTAACGATTGGTTTAAGATGAAAACATTTCATATGGAGAAACAGATAAACACAAAAAAAGTAAACTTGTTTGCTCGAAGTTTTATTCGTGAAAGAGGTGATATTGGATTGAGCGATCACGTCCCGATTCCATCTAGCCCTGGTTATAACCTAGTTCCGACGTTGAATACACGGACAGTCCGAGATTTTGATTGAATTCCTGATCTTGGCATGCTTGGGGAAGACAAAAGAAATGGTCGCCGATGGGGGACGATCACTCCAGACTTCCAGAGAGGGGAATAGAGAGTGAGGCCTACATTAATTTCTCTGTAACCTAGGGACCAATATGCAATTTTTAATTTTTTAATTATATGGCTCACGTGGATATTATAGCCAATGATTTGTAGACACATGGAGGATGCACCGGTACATCCCCCAACAGTCACAAATTATACCGTGAGATCGGTCCAGCTTGCACATTGTGCGCCGATCCCAAACGGTACCGTTTTGATTAATAAAAACAGTTGCCCTCTTCCGATCTCTAAGCCATCGCGCTCTAGCAGATTCATCGCACCCTCGCAGATTCAATTTGGAGCAGAGGAAGGGGATATGAAATTAAGGATCCTATTCTTGTTGAGCCATCGTCCCCTACAAAGCCTGAAGAAAAAGCTTTGTATCAGCTTTACAATGGAATCATCTGGATTCACGTATATCTGCTCCCAACCAATAGCCAGCCGATCGATCCAGGTCTTGGTCGCGTGACACAGGGAAGATGGATTTGAACTCCGGCTCCTGCAATGGGATTAATTTTCTATATCAGGGATTTGGCTTTAATTTCTACATCTTCGAACTACTGAAACGAAGATATGGGGTTTGGGAAACGTAGCTTAAGTCAGCTCTTTAAAGTTACTTATTAATTAAAATGATTTACATTTTTATTTATCTCAATTTACATATATATTGGGGTGAGTTACATTGAACAAGATATCTGAAGAGTGAAGACTATCCAATTCTTGGGAAGTAACAGGACAAATGATACAACACTAGAAATTGATTTCAAGTCTGAAGTAATAAAAGAGGATGGAGTTTTATTTTGGTTTGGCGCAAGTTACATTTGAAAATATACACAGTTACATTTTTTTGTTCCCTAGTTACATCTTTTTATCTGTGATTTACATCATCATGTACAAGACTTACCATTTGGATTTGTCTTAATGAGTTACATTTTGCATAAACGTGAGTTATATTTTCTATCAACACGAGTTACAATGTCCATAACACAAGTTACATCTTAAAGTAAACTCTAGCTATTGAAACAAAAATTTCACACACAAAAAATGGTTTTTGGCAAAAAAAATATTTCAAAAAATATTTTTATGACCGTAATATTAAAAACAAAACGTATTCACTATTTATGTAAAGTAATTGAATAATTAGACTTCTTGTTTTCATTATTTACATGGAAATCAATGTTGTATTTCTTATACTCCGTATTACACAAGTTACATTTCGATTTGTCTGCAATTACACGTTTTCTCAACGTTGGTTACATTTCTTTACACTTGAGTTACATTACCCTGCTGCTGGGACAAGGGAAAAACAAAAAAAAAACAAGTTAATGTTCACGCGCGTGAACAGTAACACGCGAATTTGGCTTTGGGAGCACGATGCTCACCGTGGGTTGCTCCCACGGTATAACAACTGCCCAACAGTGGTGTACCGAAGAGCCTTTATGTTATTATTACTCGTAATTAGTACTCCAAGGGTCTCTCAGATTATTTAAGGTTTATTTGGATGATCGGATGATGTATAAAATTATTTTAAAAATTATAAATGTGAGTGAGGGATTAATTAGAGGGATTATTTAGAGGGATTATTAAAATTAAAAATAATAATTTGATGTCAAGATTTGAATCCCAAATTATTTTGGATTGTAGGTAAATTGCATTTAATGCATGATCTAGAAAAACTAAGGGCCTGTTTACTAACAGAAATATTTTCCTGTTTTCTACTTCTGTTTTTCGTTCTCCAATTTTCTGTTTTTTATTTTTTAGTTTTTCTATCTCCAATTTTCTGTTTCTATTTTTTAGTTTTCCATTTTCAAATATGAAAACATGTTCATCAATTTTTTCACCAATTTCTGTGACTCATACCTCTAACTCA